GGAGGAGGAGGAGGAGGAGGAGGAGGAGGAGATTGGATTTATACCCCGCCCTTCACTACCCAAAGGAGTCTCAGAGTGACTTACAAACTCCTTTCCCTTCCCCTCCCCACAACAGATACCCTGTGAGGTTTTTGTTCAGTCTTTGTTCAGAAGCACAACTGAATTTTGATGCTCCATAGCTGCATCCACCTACAAAAGAAAATTAAGTTTCTTTTCTTAAATAGAGTTCCTGTGAATGCCTGCTGAATCTTGGAATAGGGTATATCCCAGCTAGAGCCCAGCCAGATGCCTCTGGGACGCTCAGAACTTCTCACTTTAGAAATTTTGCAATTATAGGAAACCCAAATATCAGTACCATTCAGATTGTCTGCTTCAGGAAGTTAGAGCAAACTGTGTGATGCTTCAACAAACTGATTAGCAAGTCATGCATTTCAATTGTTCCATAAGTTTGCTAGATGGCCTTAGGCAAGCCATTCTTTCAATATTATAATAATTTTGATCTACCTTACAGGGTTGTTTTAAGAACTGCTGCATAAAGCATCCACACTGGATCAAATTAAGGGTCCACGGCAATGCTCCCTCTAAGCTGTGGAGTCTTTTGAGCAAAAATTCTACTTGGTGAGCGACTGGCATGAAAGTTGTGAGCGAGTGGTTTGGCTGCTGCATAACTTAGTTTGCTCTGGAGCCATCCTTTCCTGAGCTAGGACAAAAATCTGTGAGCTGGAGGCTAAAAAACGGTGAGCTGGCTCACACTAACTCAGCTTAGAGGGAACACTGGTCCACGGAGTCCAGCATCTGGTTTCACACAGTGGCCAACTAGATGCCTCCTGGGGCACCAACCTCCAAATAGGGCCAGATTACAGAAATCAGTTCCCCTGGAGAAAATGGCTGCCTGGGGGGATGGATTCTATGCCACTACATCTAGAGTTGCCAGGTCCCCCCTGGCTGCTGGTGGGGGGTAGGGTTGCCAGATCCAGGTTGGGAAACTCCTGGAGATTTGAGGGTGGAGCCTGGAGAGGACAGGGACCTCGATGCAGTACAATGCCACAGAGTCCACCCTGCAAAGCATCCATTTTCTCCAGGGGAATTGATCTTTGTAGTCTGGAGATAAACTGTAATTCCCAGATGATCCCCATGTACGGTTGCTAGCTTCAGGTTGGGAAATACCTAGAGATTTTGGGGGTGGAGCCTGAGGAGGATGGGATTTGGGGAGAGAAGGGACTTCAGTAGAGTATAATGCTGTAGAGTCCACCTTCCAAATGGTCATTTTCTCCAGGTGAATTTATCTCTGTTGCCTGGAGATCAGTTGTAATCCCAGGAGATCTCCAGCCACCACCTGGATGTTGGCAACCCTATCCCTAGGTCCCACCTGGATGCTGGCATTTCTAATCACATCCCTGCTCAGCCCCTCCCCCAGTCCCATCCTCACTGAGCTCTACCCTCAAATCTCCAGGAATCTCCCAACCCAGAGTTGTCAATCCTAATAAGTATGGCAGTTTCAAGAGACAGGAAGGATGTGGTGAAAATTCAAATAAACCTTTCTGAATTTGTATTGATCAAGAAAGATTCGTAGGCTTCTTCAGAATTTGTTTTGTTTGCATCCATTTTCTCCAGGGGAATTGATCTTTGTAGTCTGGAGATAAACTGTAATTCCCAGATGATCCCCATGTACGGTTGCTAGCTTCAGGTTGGGAAATACCTAGAGATTTTGGGGGTGGAGCCTGAGGAGGATGGGATTTGGGGAGAGAAGGGACTTCAGTAGAGTATAATGCTGTAGAGTCCACCTTCCAAATGGTCATTTTCTCCAGGTGAATTTATCTCTGTTGCCTGGAGATCAGTTGTAATCCCAGGAGATCTCCAGCCACCACCTGGATGTTGGCAACCCTATCCCTAGGTCCCACCTGGATGCTGGCATTTCTAATCACATCCCTGCTCAGCCCCTCCCCCAGTCCCATCCTCACTGAGCTCTACCCTCAAATCTCCAGGAATCTCCCAACCCAGAGTTGTCAATCCTAATAAGTATGGCAGTTTCAAGAGACAGGAAGGATGTGGTGAAAATTCAAATAAACCTTTCTGAATTTGTATTGATCAAGAAAGATTCGTAGGCTTCTTCAGAATTTGTTTTGTTTGTTTGAAGTAACCGCTATGTCATAGGTCACCTTTTCTAATACAAGTGAATGTGGTAGGAAAGGAAGATCCTCGGCCCGGTCTGGCGATGTTTGTGTGTTTTTAATCCTGGGATTGAACTGCCTATTGAAAACATAACTGCTGCAAGCCATAGGACATTTATTCATGAGAGAGTAAGATCACATGTTGCTTTTAAGCAATAATCTCTCCGTACCAGGAATGCTGGTTAATGATCCTCTATTTCCCTGCCCCACGTCACTCTCACAAGTTCCAATGTTTGTTAAGGAACGACTAGTACCTCATTATAGAATGTTCTTCATGAAATCACAACAAACACTGGTGTCTTATGGCAACTATGTGGAGGGGGCTTGCAGTTTTGGGTTGGCAAATATCTGGAGATTTTGGGGGTAGAGCCCGGGGAGGATGGGATTTGGGGAGGGGAGGGACCTCAGCATAGGGTGACCAGGTTATGTGAGTGAAAAAAGAGGACCAACAAGATTCCCCCCCCCCCTTTGGCATATTCCTGGTCACAAATAAAAAAATACAAGCTGCTTCACCTTCCACCTTTCTGGTCTGGATATTCCAAAGGCCTTCTTTTTAGCACACGAGGTTACTCACAAGCAGCAGAAGTCAGCAAATGCAATGAAAGCCTCCCGTTCAAACTCACTCACACTCCAAGGGAGAGAGCCAGAGCTCACTGTCAAGCTCAGGCTTAACTCTCATTTCCTTAAGTTCTGCTTTTCTTCCCCTTCGCTTGTCATGTTAAATTCCTGGGGGGGGGGGTGTTGTAAGAGTGCATGAGAGTAGAAGCCATAATTATTCCAGAGGCTGTGCCCCAAGAGTTGGCTCGCATGAGACTGTCCTTGGTGAATCTTTGTGCTTAGCCAAGGCTAGATAGGGCACCATATATCTGTCTGTGTTGCCATAGAAACACTAGGGGGTAGGTGTGACGTGTGTGAATGTGGAATCATATGCTTTTACCTATAACCTGTAAATTCCTGTGGTTTTCTTGTCCTAACAAAAGTTCTTGAACCTACAGCAAGTATATCTCCAATAAACATTTAACTGCTAATAGTGTGTGTGGAGAGTGACTTTGCTGGGGACTTGACACTCACCAGAGTGACCAAGTCCACATAAACTTGGAATAATAAAAAGTTAGCACAATCTTGGAATAATAAACGGCACAGCACATTAGCTGTTGTAGATTTTCTGGGCCGTATGGCCATGGTCTTGCATTGTAGGACCTGACATTTCGCCAGTAGCTGTGACTGGCATCCTCAGGGGTATAACACAGAAAGACGGAGTAACTCTCTGTGTAATACGTCTGAGGACTTGGTACAGTTCCGCAGGGCCTGTAAGAGAGCTGTTCTGCCAGGCCTATGGTTGAAGACAGCAACACTTTACCATCAAGCCTGGCCTCTGTTACTCTCCCCTCTCCCCCCCCCCCCCGGGGAATGAGTATAAATTGGCATCACATGTATTGTATTGTTTTCATTCTTAAATTGTTTAAACTGAATTGTCTAAAAACATGTTAACTATTTCCGGTCATGATCCACTGCTATTGCACAGCTAACAAGCACAACACCAGGAATGTCCAGGACCCCTGCAGTTCCTGGCAGTGGGTAAGGACTCTGTGCCATTGCTATGGGGAAGGAAGGAGTCAAGGACATGGAGCAAAGCAGTCCACAGACCTAAGAAAATCCTGATACACAACAATGAAACAGGAAGTCCTATTAAAAATGCATACTAGGAAGTAGCGCTGGTTGCAAAACCGAAGCTTCTCTCCAATGGGGGACTGTAGGGCAAAACGGCCTCCCAACAAAAAGGACATTTTCATCAATAGGGATAGGCACGAAATGGCTCATGAAGTAAAGTTTGTCATAAATTGTGGCCAGTTCATGATTCATGTAGCCATGGACTGGAAAAAAGGGGGGGGGAGGGAAAAACTCAACCCAAGATAACACTGCGAACCAGAAGGGTTAAGCTGACCATATATATTATAAAAATACAAAATTTAATAGGGTGTACACATATTAAAATATATTCGGGTTAAATTTTTTTTCAAGTATCAGACTAATAAAAACATATCAAATATTAATACACATGATGGGTCAACACTTTCCAACTAAGGACCAAACGCGTTTCGGCCTCAAAGGGCCTTCCTCAGTGGTCACTATACAACATTTTATAGACACACATTCAAACAAATGTATACAGGTTCTTTAGTATACTTATTTTAAGACCAGATGTTGTATCCTTATATGTTTGCAATTGTGTTGCTGGGATTAATGATGGGCCACAGGTATGGCCATATTCATTCCAATTATTCTGGTACTGAGATTTCAAAAGTCTGAATGTGTGTCATTCCATCAAGGTAAGGATTAACCCGAATATATTTTAATATGTGTACACCCTAATAAATATTGTATTTTTATAATATATATGGTCATGTAGCCATGGACAATGTTTCTGCCACCCACTCCCTCAGGCTACTCTGTATCATATGGTGGTGACATTTTGCGCCATGTCCTCTGCATCTATCCCCTGGAGCCCAGTGGCCGGACTGTCCCCTCCTGCAGCCTGGGCCATGCCCCGACAGTCCTGCTGGCTGCTCCAGAGGTCTGCTGTGAAGTGCACAGTTCTGCCTTGTGCTTCGGAGAGCTGAGCCTTGACCATTGCCACTGCAGCCAGTGAAAGGCTGCATCCTCAATGAGAGAGAAGGGTTGGCCATCCACAGCAATAATCTCACCAGTGAGGTGACTGACTGCTTCCTGGGCCCTCCACGCAGCCCTTCTGACCTCTTGGAATGCTGTCTGAGGGAAGTGAGGGAAAGGGGGCAGTGGGGAATACAGGGTGGTGGGATACTGAATGGCAAAGTTGGGAGTGAAGCAGGCGGTTTCATGGGTCTTTTGAATAGTTTAGTTCTGTTTTAAAAAAAAGGTTTCAGTATCTCTAAAGTAAAGAATGGACAGGAAGGGAGGGGTTCTCGGGATGCAGAGCACCCAAAGCATCCTCCCCTTCTTCAGGTACTCATCCTTTGAACAGACACTAGCTTTGGAGCAATCTGTGGCCACAGTGAAGATTAGTTGAGAGAGGATGGTGAAGTGTTGCCGTATTGTGGGCAGACCTGTCCATGTGTGCCAGGGCTGTATGACAGCCTATTCCAGTGGCTGGTCTGAGTCGGTTAAAAAAAAGTGTCTGGGGTTGAAAAGCCCACACCCGCACTTAGCAAGGCCAGCAGATGGGGGAAGCAACGGTTGGCTACACAGCAGCATGGTTCTGCCCCCACTACACCCCAAGGAAAAGTTGGTGGGCCCTGGAACAGCAACAGTGCTCAAAAGGCCAGCGGTGCTGGTAAAGCCACAGGGGAGGGGCTGTTGCTCAGTGACACAGCATCTGCTTGGCATGCAGAAGGTCCCAGGTTCGATCTGCAGCATCTCCAGTTAAAAGGGAGTGAAAGAGCTCTGCCTGAAACCCTGGAGAGCTGCGCTGCCAGTCTGGGTAGACAATACTGACTTTGATGGACTAAGGATCTGATTCAATATAAGACAACTTCATGTGTTCAGGCATAGGCCTGTCTCAGACCTTGTGGGAATACTCACTCCTGTGGGATTTCCCTTGGACTTCCTGGATGGGTGGGGCTCCAATATCCCCATTAAAAGGAGAGTCAGCTAAAGGCCAAGGAGGATATCGCAGGGCTCTCTCTGCGAGGCTGTGGAGAGGGTCAGTGTTGGAGAAAAAGACAGGGTGTAAGCCCCTTCTTTCCCAGTACTGAGGCTGCAAAGACTTCCGACAAACAACACTGGAGGGCACCCAAGTTCAGGGGTTCCAGCCAACAGCCCCAGCTTCTGACAGAAAGGTGGAAGAAGCTAGAATCAGATGTAGGAGAGAAAGGGAGGGAGGGGCTGAAAGGAGAGGATGGGTAGTGTGCTGTATTTGGTTGTAATCAGAGAAGTTACAGGCACACACGCAAAAATACAGGCAGACGTACAAGGCTCAATTCATCATGGAATATTTCTAATCATGCACAATTTTAGGGCCTAAGAAAAATCTTGTTCAAGAAAACCAGCTACACAGGGAAGCCCAACAGGACAATCACTGAGACACAGTGAAATACATAACAGACAAGGCCCACTCTCCCAGACAAAATAACCCCTGGCCCTGCCCATTGAACAAATTAGACCCTATTCAGTGAATAAGAAACATCAAGACAATGCCGTACCTGAGACTGCGCTCGGAGGCTCATGAGCAAATCTTGTACCTCCTGCAAAGAACTGCCACCACAAGGCACTTGAAGCATTTCTTTCAGGCACTGAATCTCTTTGTCTTGGCACAGGTACTTCTGCACAATGGTGTTTCCACTTGCAGCGCATTCATAGAAGTGGCCCCCCAATAAGGCCACGGCAATCCATGTGAAGGGAGCAACAGCAGCACCAACGACCACCAGCCACAGCACTCGCAGATAGCGGCAGATGCGACCCCTGTGGCTGTACCTGGACAGCCTGCCTGGGGCACAACATCCTGTGAGCACCTTCCAGCACCTGGTACTGAGCAGCAAACCAAGTAGAAAGAGAATAAGGGCTGGAACCAGGAGGAAGACAGAGCCATAGAGCAGATTCCAGGAATTGCAAGGACACTTAAACACCACCACAGAAAAGATACGCTCACTGCCGGCAGTCAGCAGAGACACGGCACCATAACCCAGCACCTTCTGGTGACTGAGGCAGAAGTCTAGCACCGTGCGAAACTTATCCATCACCCAGCCCTGGGATGTCTTCTGATGTTCCAAATTTGCTCTCTGATACGGTCTCCTCCCTTGCCTGTGAGAAAGAAATCTGACTTTATCAAAACACTTTGTATGAAAAAGGAAGAGGATGTTTGGGGTTTAACAATGTCTACTGGCAAATAGAAAGTATTTTCAGTTTCCTTTCTCTTGTAACAAAAAAAGAAGTAGGAGACCAAATGGAGGGTTCATTAAAAATATGTTCACAGAACACTTCTGTGGTCATTTCTAAAAATAAATAAATAAAATTAGTGGCTTATCTCTCTGTGCAAAGATTATAGATTAAATATATTTGCTATGCATTTAACAGACACAGAGATTTTTTTAAAAAACACACTAAAATTGTACTTATTTTCATTTCTTTCCAGTCAACAGCCAAGACGCAGTTTGCATAAATTGCTCTCTTTTTATCATTAGAACAACAGGTTATGATAGGAAATAATGATGACCCAGAGCTGCCAGTATGACATTACAATTGTACAGGGGTCTAACTGAGTATATGTTTCACCTCCACCTGATGCAAAAGATGGCAGCTGACCTAGGAAGGCACATTAATATCTGAAATCCAATATAAATAAATAAATAATCTTTCAATTTATTGATCGCTCAATCCTTGCAGAGCTGCTGGCTCTGAGCGATTTACAGTTACTCATTTCACAAGGGACTAACAATGCTTTATAGGGGTAAGGGAGGACAACACATATAATCTTTACATAGAACACGTTTTGCAGCTGACAGGGAATTGTTCAGTTGCAACTCAGATGTGATCCGGACGGCATTTTTCCCACTCGGCTTGGCGTGGCTGGATGACATCAGCTCTTCCTCTCCAGGACTCTTCGGGTCGCAGCTCCGTACTGCCACCGCCTGGCTGGAACGGCCCATTACAGGCTTCTTGATGCCGAAGCGATCTTCTAGGCTTTCGATCTTGTGAGCCAAACCTTCCGTTCGCCGGCTAACACCTCCCCCACGGGGGGGCGGCTTTGGTGTGCCCACCCTCTCTAAGGATTGGTACCGATTTTATCTACTCACCAAAGCTTTTGAACCGCTGGGTGGATGGCAAGCTGGGGACAAGGCTGGTAGCTCACACCAGTGCGGTGCTAGAACTGACAGCAGTTCTGTTCAGCTCAGATGTTACTTGGAACCAGAGGATAAATCCCCTGTGCCACCGCTCCCCTTTTCCACCACTCCCCTTCTGCACTGGTGCAGGTTGTCAGCCTCCAGGTGGGGCCTGGAAATCCCCCCCCAGAATTACAAGTGATCTCCAGACGACAGAGATCAATACCACTGGAGAAAATGGTGGCTTTGGAGGGTTGACTCCAGGGCTATTTTTGGACCAGAACGCACCGGAACAGCGTTCTGGCTGCCTTCCGGTTTGGCCACACCCCCTGCTCCCAGCAGCCCTCCGGTGGCCTGACTGAGCCACCGCTGCCTTATACCTGTCTGTGCACATCGCATCAGCTCATTTCCATAAGTTGCACAGAGGCCGGGGGGGGGGGGACCGCGATGGCTGCTGCTGGGTTTTTTCTTGTTGCAAGTGGCACCGGAATCTTGCTCAGTCTCCAGTTCCTAGGAAACTGTGAGACTCTCCCATTGACTTCAAATATTTTTGGAAATCGACCTGGCAAGGAGCGACCTGCTTAATAATTCAACAAAGGGGGGGGGGAGAAACATCTTTCACGAGATGGAGTGAACTGCTTCTCCGTTTGAGGCTTGCAATGTCAGGACACATTTGGGCGGCCCCGCTGAACTGAGCAATTCTGCCTTGGCAGGCCAGCAGGCATGAGGTGAGAAAAGCAAAGCGAAGGAAAGA